TTCTCATATTTTCTCTCTAAAACTTGTTATAATATTTTGCAAGCTAGGCTAGAGTTCTTTTAGTGAGGCTAGAGATGAATATTTGTTAGTGATCTAATTTGAGTTTTGATTCATTGTGCTGTAATGTTCAATATTCGAATGAATTAAATCTCATCTATCTTTCATTTATTTTTCAAAATATTGTGTGCCAATTTTTATATGAGTTTAGTCACGCTTTTCTTTTATAATTTTATCATGCACTATTTTGTTATTCAAATTATTTTACAAATTATCTTTTACTGCAATATTGTAAAAATTGATATATTGTCAATTTTGGGTAGCTTGTAATAATAATATTTTCAGAGTCAACATAGAGATTTAATTTATTTTATCCTTTTATTTTGTGAATCAAAACTTAAATTGGTGAACGAAACATAAGGGATCCTTGACACCTTACCGTTTTTACTATTGAATTTTCTTCACATAAATTTCCTTTCTTTTCTTTACTTTATTAGCAACAAAATCACAACAAAACTCATTCCTTTCTCTAATGTGTTGTCCCGAATAAGGCTACCCAAGAGGGGGGTGAATTGGATTTTGAATATTTTTCTAGAGTTTATACGATTATTCAAGGATTAAAACTAAATATAGACAATTAATCTAACAAGGTACTTTTATCAAACACTTGGTGTACATAAAATTATGTAAGTTAATGCAATAGCACAACCACTTGATGTACACAAGATGAACCAATCTAATATCATACAATGAGTTCAATAAACTTATCACTACGAGTTAAACCAATCAATGTCAATAATCAAATTTAAAGTGCAGAAATTAAAGAGATAGAGTTAGAGAGATGCAAACGAGATTTATAGTGGTTCGACAAATAAATTTGCCTACATCCACTGTCACCGAGATATTCCGCCTCTCGACCTCTTCCACTATTCGATCGACTTTCCGGCACGATCACTCCTCTTACAAGAAGGAGAATCTTTCTACCCGGGGCTTCGCCTAACCTCTTACACAATGTCGATTTTCCACGGAGATCGACCAACCAAGTAACCTAATACCAAAGTAATGATTAAGAGTAGTGAAGCACTTAGTTATACACTCCTATAAATAGTTTTACACAATTGAAATCACTAGGAGATGATGAACTCACACTATCACAAGATAATTCAAGGTAGGCTCAATAATGTGTGAGAGAGTTAAGGATTTAGAGAAGATGATGATTATGTAGACACAATGGAGAACTCTCTTTTTGATTTTTGGAGCTGTGAATTCGTTCTCTGTTTTCAGCAAAATCCATTGTTGAGAAAAATGACTATTGTCTATTTAACCTCTCTTGCCAATGGTTATATTTTTGCCTGTTTACCCAGTACCGGTCGACCGGAGCAGTTGATCGGTTGAGACAAATTTGAATTCGGGTTGTTCAACATTCTTATTGAGTGTCTGTTGAACAGAACCGGTCGACCAGAGCGGTTGACCAGTTGAGGCAACACCGGTCGACCGGTGCATTTAGCCTTCTCTATCACCGAACGACATAGGTCGACCGGTTGACACTTAATTCGCCTCAAATCTTCACAAATTTGTACTTTTAAGCCAAATGTCATTATGCACTAAGTTTGGTCTCATTTTTAAAGAATAATGTGAGTGTGTGCATGAGCCTAAACAAGAATTAATCATGATAGTATAAAGTCAAAATCAAATACAAGACTAAGGAGATATAAAGACTTATTAGTACTTGTCCAGCTTGATTTTGTTTGCTTGCTCTTGATCTTTAGTATTTTAGCACTTCAAGCCTTGAATTCCTTCTTCAATTTGCATTTGTCAATCTTGAATGTATTTGCATTGAATTCCGCAAAATACTTCTTGAGTTGATTTATAACATTAATTACTCTAAATACACAACTCAAAATAGAATCATTAGAAACATAATACATTGTGTTTGTTATCATCAAAGCATGAGAATATTCAACCTTGGGCCAACATAATGTTCTTTTCTACTAATCTTTCTTGTTACTTTTGTCACCTCTCTATGGATACGACCATCTTTTTGCGCTATAATTGACCGCTTGTGAATAACAATTTTGGGCGTTAACTAACGTTCATCTTCTATCGCGCAAATGAAGGCGAGATTACAGCCCTGATGTCATGCCTTAACCTCTATGAAGGATGGTCGGGACAATGTGTGAGTAAGGCAAAATCTAGTGTTCTATTCTCCAAAATTGTTGGAGCAGAGGATAAATGGTGCATTATATGTATTTGTGGAATGGGATAAATAAAAGGAGATGAGAAATATCTTGGCAATCTGTTATTTCTCTCTCGCAACAGATCTATTTTCACTTTCCTCAAAGAGAAGTTGATTAAGATATTAGAAGGGTGGATGGTTAGACCCTTATCGTGGGTGGGTAGATCGACTCTGATCAATGTGGTGGCGCGAGCTATACTGATCTATTCACTATCAACCTCTAAATTTCAAAAGGGTTGTCTGATGACATGGATGGGATTCTTTGACGATTTTGGTGGATGGGTAGGCCAGATAGGTTTCGTTTTCTGGCCCTTACTTGTTGGCAGGGGATTTGCAAACCGAAAGTGAGTGGCGGGCTAGGGTTTAGGAGCTTTCGGAACTTTAATAGTGCCTTGCTAGCTAAGTTGGCATGGGAATTGGCTTCAGATAAGCCGGTGTTATGGGTGAACCTTCTGAAGCAAAAATACTTTTGAGGGGGATCTTTTTAGGATGTTGAATTCAATAGATCTGACTCTAGTCTATGGATGGGAATCCTCGGTGTGAGAAGCTTAGTAGCGAAAAGGAGTCGTGCTCTTGTGGGGGACGGTGGATCAATCGACATATGTTTAAGGCCTTAGGTTCCCTGGCTTCAATCGGGCATTCCCAGAGTAGCCTTCAATCCAAGATGCTTGGATGCAGCTAGTTTCCCCTTGGATTATCAAAAAGCAGTATATTTGCTCCTCCCGAACTTTAGGGAGTGGAGTGTTAGCCTAATTCGATAATTGTTTGATGATGAGTCGTGCGAGGCTATTTTGAGGACTAAACCTTTACGGAAGCAATCTCTAATATGTTGATGTGGAGGCCCTCTAAATCAGGTAAATTTTCAGTCACGAGCACGTATAAGTTCCTAGCAAATGAAGGGGAGGATATGAAGTGGGAGTTGGGCAACCGAATTTTGAAATGGAGATTGCATGAGTGCTATAAAGTGTTCTTGTGGCGGATGGCGAAAGGAGTCCTTCCTACCTGGGCCCGGATGAGGATGTTTTCTACTGTCGTTGTGTGTTCAGTTTGTGCAGGTACTTTGGAGAAAGATACTCATATTTGCCTTATGTGCCTATTTACAAAATTCGTCTGGTTTGATGGTCCTTGGGGCATTAAGAGAGACAATTTACCTCTTCAGAATGAAGCTGATTGTGTCGAATGGTTGTTGAACCCCCTTATGATATTCCATCTGAAGAATTTATTATTTGGGGTGCCATATGCTTCTACCAGCTATGGAAAATGCAGAATGAGCGAGTGCTTAAAAGCGTAGACCACTGCAGGAGGCGCGAATTAGAGGTGATCAACTGCTTGTTCAATGATCGTAAGTGAGTTTTGGCGGCAAAATCTCAGGTATCAGAGAGTTGTAGATAGTTTCCTTTCTGGTGATTGTCCTTCTGGTTGTAATATGCTTTCTTGTGATGATGCTTTTGCGGGAAATAAGGCAGGGCTTGAAGTAGTTTTGCGCATTTGTCACGGTAATGTCCTTGAGAGATTGCTCAAGTCCTTGAAGCAAGTTCGGCCTTAGACGCTGAATTAAAGGCTTGTGAGCTTGTGGTTAGGCTCTCTCTACCTCTCGAGGGCCCTCTCGTAGTGGAAAGGGATTCTAAAGTGTGCATGGAGGCTTTGTCGGCCATAATGCCTCCCCTGGACTACACAATAATTTTATCCTTTCTTCATAGTGTTGCGGCAATCTTAGATCCTTCTAAGATCGTTTTTAGATGGATTCCCATATCTGATAATGTTTTGGCTCATAAGCTTGCTCGAAAGGTTTTGTTTCGTAATAATAGTAATGTTAAAGCTCTAGAGGAAGAAGTCTCTATGTGACTTCTGCTTGCTGCCTCCAGGCTTTAATAAAAATGTTTATTCATAGAAAAAAAAAAATCTGTGTGTCAAACGCGAAATGGGACTATTATATCTTTTCGATATGAAAGTTCTCTAAAAAAAAGGGGGGGCAATATCTCACAATGCAAAACATAATACACACAAAGATCTCTTTCTTTTTTTTTCTTTCACTCTTTCTACATATCGTAAAAATAAAAAATAAAAAAAGGGCGAATAAGACTTGGAAATATTCATATATTATAGGTATTACGTCCACATTTAAAGAGGAACGCGAAATCCACAATATGCACTTCAGACCCGGCAGCAAACTAAAGGTAAGTACGTGTAACGATAAACGAGCAATAAGACAATATAATTATTATTATATTATATTAAACAAATAAATTATAATTAATGTATTATATAATCATAACTGTGTAATACACTATAATATATAATAATATTAGAATTATAAGAATATATTAATATTTATTTATATTAATTATTATATTATTATTAATATAATAAATATAATTATATCAATACAATATAATATATAATATATAATATATTATAAAATAATAATTACAATATCATATAATAATTATATTAAAATTATAATATCATATTATTAAAATAATTATAATAATATTATAATATCATATTATATGATAAAATAATAATATTAGAGTTGTGAATATAATTATGATATTACTATTATATTATATTGTATTATATTATATTATATTATATTATGAGTGAATTTTAGAATGAGAAGATTGTAAATTTTAAATTTCATTAGGGGTATTATAAAAGTTTTATTAATTGTACTATACTAATTCCCGCATAATCTGAAAGCTAAAGTTGTCTTTTGCTACAAACTGATTTTAGGAGGGAAAATGAATACCAAACTAAGTCAATATCTGATCATTCAATGTGTAAAGGTAGCAACTTGTGTTGTTAGCCACTTAACATGCCTTGACCTGCATCGCCCCATAAATAATTAGGTGTGGGTCAAACCCGTCCTATTGACATCCTTTATGTAAAATGTGTAACTAGTATTATTTAAGTACCAATAATTATTTATAGAAAATATAGCATAACTCAGTAATTATGCTTTATAGACATAGTCTAATAATAATTTCACACCTGATTCTACCATAAAGTGATGAGATGAATTCCCCCACCCTAACTTAACAAAAAATAATAATAACCCACGAAAAGTACTGAAAGTAAAATAACTTTAAAAAAAAAAATAGCATAACCCACGACAAGTACTGAAATTAAAATAAATTTGACCAATTACGGCAATAGAAAACGACAATAATTTGAAACAAGCAAAAAAGACAACATGAAAAGTTTAAACTGTAAAAAAAAATAACAGCAGAAGAAAACAACAACAGTAAGAAACGACATGAAAAGTATAGAACGACAATAACAGAAAAAAGAGAACCAAAAAAAAAAAAAAAGGTGAAGGGAAGAAAAATGAGAACCTAACTCAATTCAAGCCAACCCCGTCAAGGTTTCTTCCAAGATGACACTGAAACGACTCATTCGATCCCTGTTTAGCGCCAAACCAACCTCGACACCACCTTTCTGGTCCCTACTCTCAGCAAGAGAAATCGTAGTCGCATCACGAAAATGGACCGTCTCGCTCTTTTTAGGCCGCCCCCACCCGAAATCCGCCTCATAAACACCAAATTTCGGCGAGCCCGTGACGGTAAGATGTTGCCACCCAGATTCCTTTATTTTCTTGAACTTCATCAACCAATTCTCGAACGTCTTCAAAGATTCCTTGTTCAATTCCCCGACTTCCTTCCCAATGGCCTTAGCCGCCGCGACGATACCATTTTCTGCCAATAGCTCCTTCCTCTTTACCGTTGCAAAACATATTGTCATGCAATTTCCAAAATAGGTCGTTGGTAATGGAAACGCGACGCGACTTCGACATTCCGCTACAAAGGCGAGGTAGTAAGGCTCGTCATCTTTATCGGTGTTGACCGCGGAATTCCTCTCTTCCGATCTGTGTTGAACGCGGAATTCCTCTCTACCGATTTCGCCAAGCAAACCCATATCAACGCGCAAGTAGAGATAAACGATGACATGTGAAACGACGACGAGCTTTTGTCATTGGCCAATTGTTTTGCGACCCACTGCTTTAGTCTCTCCATCTGGACTTGGCTTAGAGGAAACGTGCTACGGATGTTGTGAATAGTACGACCATCGCGGACTCGTCTTTCGTCCTCATCTTTACTTGTCGACCCCAAACTCCACCATTCGTTCAAGATCTCCAGCTCAAGCCCATATTGGTCCTTGATCGCCGCCCGGTCGTGAGACGGCAGCCGTAGCTCTCGATCAAGCCGGGCTAAATCTCCGCCGGTCTTGCTAAGCAACGCCCATGATTTCATGAAGTGGTGAAACGCCCTCCCGTCGCTCCCCGCATGGTTTCTCTGTACGGCGATGCAGATGCCGAAGTTGGGGAAGACGGTGACTTGCACGGCCAGGAGAGGTTCCACACGTGTGCCGTCTTCCAAACGTGTGGGTGAAAACTTGGGGACGAACGGGTCAAACGCTCGGACGGGTAGCAGGTGATTGGCCGAGAGAAAGTGGAAGTCGGCGGTGGACTGGGCGACGGTGAGGGAAACGGAGTCGCCGTCGGTGAAGAGAATGTTAGGCTTCGCGGGCGGCGGAGGGCAAACGAGGTTGCCGGCCAAGGGGAAGAAATGTTGGAGGGTGAGGGAGAGAGAATTTTTGAGAGAGGGAAGTAGGGTTTCTAAGAAGTGGTTGGTAGGGTGAGGAAATTCATAGAAGTAGACGCGTTGCATGTGGTTGCAATTCAGAAGCCATGGCATGTCAAAGAAAGTGAGAGGAAGAGAGGTTTTTGGGACTGAGCCTGGCGGTGGAGAAACCTTGGCTTGCTCGATTACCTTCACTTCCATATTCGGCAGCGCCATGGATATTGTGAGGATTTTGAGAATTCCCGTTGAATGTTGATCAATGTAAATTACGGAAAAAGAAATCCTTAATTGTATGAGATTTGTTTTTAGGCTTTTTATATAAAGGTAAGGGGCTGTTCAAGAATCATATACCGCTTCAATAATAGGCATTTTATGTAATTATTTCTATATGATTATCAAATTGTTATGTTACTAATTTGAATAAATAAAAGGTCACGCATGTCGCAGGCAATTTTCTTTTTTTTTTTCCTTTCTTTTTTTTTTGGTACTAAATTTTAATAATTAGGACTGTTTACAGATCGAATTACACTGAGAGTTAATCAGAATCCCGTTACTTTAGATTGAAAAAACCTCAATCCGTTACTAATATGTGAGACCTCCAACCCAACTTAATCTAATTCAGAAACATCAAAATTCACATATTGGGTTTCGCGAATTGGGGTTATTATTTGAGACTCTAAATTTAAACCTACTTAAAGCACATTTTTGAACTATTGTTTAGGTCACAAATTTATTTCAATAAGTGGTTACTAGTTCTTTTAGTGGAAACATGCAGTGCATTCTAAGCCTTCTTTCATGAAGATTGTGAAAATTGTAATATATGTGTTACAAATTTGGTAGATAAAAATCACGTTTTCCCCTCCTATTGATGACCACCTACCCACATGTGGTGACCACTCTCACCTGATTTGGTTATTAGTTGAGTACTTCATTAAAAGATTGTCTAACATTTCAAAAAAGAAAAAGTGTTCAATCTTGTTGCGAAGCATTATTTTTTGACTAGTAGTTTGGGGAGCCAGATCTATTGTCCTAACTAAAAGAATGTCTTATATTTTAAGTCCTACATTAACAATAAGTTAGAGCTACAAGGCTCTAAGTTTCTAAGGATTTTAAAACAACATCTAACTTAATGATGTAGCGAAAACTTAATTAAATAAAATTAAAAAATAAAAATAGAAAGAAAGATCAGTTATAGCTTGTTAATTCACATAAAATACCAAGAAAAACTGCTTTTAAAAACTGTTAATTAACACAAAATACCGGAATTTAGGAGAAAATTGAGAAAAAAAAAATTGAAATTTTATTCAATTGAATTAGTTTTCATTATAAGAGGGTGTCTAATAAATATATATATGAGCAAAATGAAAACTGAAAACTAACCTATTCTAAAATAAAAAAATAATAAAAATACAAAATTTTTCAAAAAAGAAAAAATTTGAACTGAAAACCAGAATTGAAACAGCCAAACACGGGAAAAAAGGAAACGCAATCTGAACTGAAATCTGAATTTTCTAGGTCAACTTATTACAAAAATGATAATTTCTAAAAATTGAAAAACTAACCTTTTGAAAGCCTAAATGATTGAATTGGCTTGAAAACATCTCACATTGTGGCAAAGTGATGAGTTAAGTTTGTTGCGTCATTTCTACCTAGAAAATACATATTTATCGTCCAAATCTGACATCGCTATAAGATCCCATTAAAATCGAAAAATTTGCCTTATTTAGCTTAAAAATGTTCCCAACACACCATAAAAATGAAATCTTTTCGCACCGCATCACTTAAGCTCCTATATATGTTGCCAGTAGCCGGTTCCGCGTAGCTTTTGGTTGAAGATGTGAATTAGGGATGATAATAAACGAATGAAAATCAAAAAAGGAAAAGAGAGCGATGATTAAAAAAGTAAAGATTGACTATATGAAGAATTAAAGGGCCAAGAGACTTATAATAATGGTAAAAGAATGGCCACGAACAAAATGTGTTAAAATTTAAAGTTCAGAGGGAAACCACTCCACAGTTCAAATGTAAAGGCAAAAAGTTATAAACTTGCATTATAATTATTATTTGTTGCTTAAAAAGGAAGGAATTGTCAATTATTATAAAATCTTTATAATTTTTTGACAATAGTTTTGAATCTTTTGATGATTGACACTCGTGTCCATGTCACAGTCCAAAAATAGAAATTTAAATGAATTCAGGGTAAACACGAAAAATACTGAGACCCGACAGCTGCAGTCGTTGATCGACAATTGGCATGATCAACATTTCCATCAGGATAAGGGTTGGGCCAATGATGCTACTGAGGCTGCATATGTGAGTATGTATTTAACAAAAGTCTTTCAAAATGTTCTTATTCATTGACAAATTTCGTTGTCAATTAATATTTACTAATTACTAATAATAGGGAAAGATGGTAGATGACTCAGGTGTTGGAGTCTGGGCCAAGCTCCTCCATCAGTAACGTCGATGAGATTACCATTCTTGAGAATCTTCTTGGAAACCATAGGGGTCACCGCACGGGAGTGAGACCTAAAATCACTACAAGAAAAAGGTATTTTTGCGACGACAAAAAGTCGTCATAAAAACCCACATATAGTCGCAAATAACGATTTTTACGACGACGTGTCGTCGCAGATTTGTTGTCGAAAATAATTAGTTGCAAAAACTTTTTTTGCGACGACATAGTGTTGTCGCAACCGTATTTGCGACGACAAAATGTTTTTGCGACGACAGGCGTCGCTAATACGCCGTTGTAAAATTCTCGTGATATTATAATTTTTTGCGACGACATTTCAATTTGTCGTCGTAAATAACCTCATTTTTTTGTGATGACAAATCTAAAAAAGTCGACGCAAAAAACCGAAATAATTTTTTTTTTATAATTTTTAAAAAATGGCAATTAATTAATTTTTAATAATTTTAATTAAAAATTATTATGTTACATACTGAATATAATTTATTAAGATACATTAAAAGTGAAATATAAATTAATATTAAAAACAGTAAATCTAAATAAATTTATAAAATATATTATGAATACTATATGAAGTGCATATATAATGTTTAAAAAAATATAAAAGTCTAAATAAAGTGAAAAATAAAATTATACATATAACGAAACTAATCGTCTAAGTTTGCAGCATCACCAACAGCTGAATCATCATCAGGACTGTCATCATCTGAAGGATGCAGAAGTGCGTCTAGGTCAATTAGTTCTGGATGATCAATCGTAGGTAATTGGATGTTTGGCTGTAATTCAGCCACCAACTCTAACACCTTCACCTGATTGTTATAAATCTTAACTTGTTCCTGGTACGATTTCTTTAAATAACGACTCACATGTGGGTTAGGTTGAGCCGATGATGTTGCATCCGAGTTTGAACCATCAGAGGAAGGAGAAGCCCCGGAGTAATGCTTTTGGGAGAGCGTCGGACCCACTCTTATCTTATGTCCTCTACGCATACCAAGAACTTGCTCCAAGACCCTACGCTCGTCAAAGGCGGGTCTAGTCAAGCTTGAAGTAGACTGTGTTCTCTGCGTTTGTCTCTCCTCCTCCAGGGTGTTCTACATAATATAAGACATTATAATTGTTTTTACGTCTTATAAAACCACTATTTCAGCATAAAAAAATTTAATATGAAAAGTAAAAATACTTGCAAAAGTCTGTTCCGCTTGGGGATTAACCCAAGAGGCCCCGTGACGATGCATGTCCGCCCAATTGTCTATGGCAGACATCGGCTCTTAGGTCTCCGGACTGAACTGTCAAATAAATTACATTTGTTAAAATTCTTAAATTCTAACTAAATTTCGGCAGCATAACGACTTATTTTTCATATGATCCAAAAATCAAAACCTGTAAAAAAATAATTTTAAAAGATTTCGGCACACCATAGCTGCAAGATGTGCCACCCAGAACAATCATCACAAACATGTAAATACGATAATGAAGTCAAAAAATAAGTGCTAACCTTCTTATTACGATTCTGAGAGTACGATACCCGACCATGTAAGCTTGGATACTTTTGGTTGCTACGATTAGTTTTATTTGTCTCTGATATTTTCTGTTTATAATTAACTATAATAAGTAATAGTTACTTGAAATTATGTATAAAAAACCATCAAGTTCTAACAATTCTATAATTACTTGAAATTTGTCGTTGGAGAACCTATCGCAACAACGATCCTAATGAAGTTGATTCCTCATGTTACTCGGGAGACTTTCTCTACCATAGCGTTTGAAGTGGCGGTGCAGAGAACTTTTTCAGTCCTTGTAGCACTTTGCTGCCTCCCTATCAACAACAGACCTCAGAATATCGTTCTTATAGTTGTAGTCCATGTTAAACTAGTTCTTGCAAAATAGTTTCACATCATTAAAACGCATTGTTAACTTTAGTATAAACTATACAAATTATTGCATAAAAAAATACCGGCATCCGGTTCTGAACTGTCCTCTTGTCCATGTCGCTAATGTCCTTCCAAGCATCGTGGAAGGGCTCGCATATATCCCTGGTATGAATACCAACTGCACTTTCAAACCAAGCACCATATTTACCAAGCGCCTTCCAAGTACCTCCCGCCTCATCAAATTCTACTGTGATTTTTCCGTCTTGAAGGACCTTTTGGGCGATTTCATCACCTTTCGCCCCACCTCGACCTCTACGTTGTTGAGGTTTAGGTGCTGTAATCATATGTAAGCATTTCAAATCAACATGTACTACTACATTTATTTACTATATGATAGAACGGGAAAAAAGTTAGAATAACATACCAAACTCACAGAATGCGAGGGCTCTGTGAGGACCGGGAAGAGGCTGTGCTCCCCCTAAAGAGCCAGCGCAAGTCGCTACCAGACCAGCCATCAATGCCTATGAACAAATTCACATTAATAACAATATTTATAAATTCACAGAAGATCATAATATTAAAACGAAAGCTGAGAAAAAGGACAAAGATTATTATTCTTAAATTCTACTCATCGTCGCTGCTACATTATTGATTGTCCACATCATCATTTATGTCATCATCGTCTTCAGATTCGATGACTTCCTCCTCAACGTACTCCTCTAAAGCAACGTCTTCTAAGCTGCAAACATCTCGTCTACTGGTTGATTAACTATTAGGTCGACACCTGAATCCGCTTCTACTTCACCATGGTGAATCCATGTACTATACAATGGATCAAAACCAAATCGATTTATATGCGCTCTCACAGTTTCTACTCGATGCATTTCATGGTTTCTACATTTCACACAAGGACAACTGATATGGCCAATTGAAGTTGCATAATTTTTGGCGACGTCAATAAAAGCAGATAACCCATTCCAATATTCATCCGACAATTAGT